GCGAGTGGCGGGTCGACAGCGTGGGCCTCTCTCGTCAAGTCGCCTTCACCTCCAAACCACCCAGGTGCCCAACGTTGCCGCAAGGACCATTTTGGTGTGTGTGCTCACCCTTGGTCGCCGTGCGCAGGAAGGGCGTGATAGAGGAGGCCCTGACCGAGACCATCTCCACCATGCAGCTGGCCTGCCTCGTAGTCAACAGGTACACCTCGCCTCCAGCACTGCGGCATACACATGCACTTACGTCCGTCGCAGGAAGAGCCTGGAGACCCGAATCCACATCGCCGTGGTGAGTACCTACAATGGTAGCGTAGACCCCTGGAACGGAATTGGTCGCAACTGAAGGTGGTGATTAAGTGGCTGGCGGGTGATTGGGTGCAGGGCTCGAGTACCCCAAGGCCAAGGAGTGGTTTGAGCTGGTGGACATCAGTCGCGACAAGGGCTTCCCGCTCCTCCAGGTGCTTGACTACAGATGGCACGAGGACGCACCCACTCCACTCCACTCCACTCCACCTCCTCCTGATCTCACAAAAGGTTGAGCACAGAAAATCCTTGATCACACCTTTGTTGACTGTTCGTGCTGGTCTTCTATCCTTACAATGGTAGCCACAACAAGAGGCTCGTCCACAGTCTTCCCACTGTGGTGCCCAAGGTTGTCGCCAGGCCTGTAGCCCCACATTGACCCGTCGTCACCTCCAACACTCCCACTACGCCGACCTCACCAAGATTGGCCACAAGAAGTCCACAGAGTCCACCTGATCTGCTCCGCAACCTTCGCCCCACGCTCCTTGCCGGTCCTTCACACTTTGCAAGTAAGGACAGTGAGTGGCTCTCTCGTGAGGTATGGCCACGGCCTGGACTACTTTGTACAGAGCTCTCTTTATGGAATGAAGAAGGTGAGGGCAAGAAGATTCGATCTGCGATGGTGGCAAGTGGTGTGAATCGACCGGCCCATCTGCAAGCTAATGGTCCCGGTGCTAGGGGGGCAGCATGTGTTCTGGCACAGCGTGGCAGTCCCTGACCTGGCGCACCCTGCGCCACCTGCTCCATTGGAGCTACACCGACGCCCTGCACCCGACCTGTCGGCCCCATCGACGACCCAGCAGGCCCACTTCAGTTCGAACGCTACCTGGTCCACCTCTACGCCGCGCCCGATCGCTACATGCTCGAGCCCTGCATGCAGCTCGCGGAGGCCGATCTGAGAAACCTGGACAGGTACAAGTCCGACGGCGCAGGGCGTCAGGTGCATGATAGTGTTCGAGACGCGCACATTTAGCCACCTTACTTTTTCTGGAGCGTTACACGTCAGCGCAACCCTCCCGTTCAAATCTGCCAGGCGACGATGGGCTCGGAGACGAGGGAGCCTTGGCGTGCGAGCTGGAGCAGGGCCGCGTCGGCGATGACCAGGGCTGCCATGGCCTCGACGATAGCGATGGCGCGCGGCACCACGCACGGGTCGTGTCTCCCCTGGGCCTCCAGCACCGCCTCGCCGCCGCCGTACTCGCTCGTCTTCTGCGCCTGGCTAATCGTGGCCGGCGGCTTGAACGCCACCTACACATTCCACGCATTCCATCAGCACACGACACACACGACACGACACACACACGACACACACAACA